CTTTGGAAAATAAACGGGAAATCTACGTTTCAGATTAGCATTCCAAACTTTCCGTATAGCACTAAGTATACGTTTAAAGCATGTACTAGTTTCTCTTATGAAATCTGGACGTCTCACTGGTAAAGGTTGCTCGAACAAACAACCTGAAGTATTAACAGATTTATCCCGTAATAATTGTCGAAAAATGTAGCCAACATGATGAATTTCTTTGGTAATCCTAAGCTGAACCGTATAGTCATGGGCACTCAAAGCAATACTCGACCATTAAACCATAGCAGTTGAAGAACGAACCATAGATTTTCCAGGACAATAAATGAACTTTAAAGCTTCATGATCAGTAACAAATGTGAATTTTTTTTCGAATAAATATTTATGAAGTCTTTCAACAGCCCGAAACACAGTTAATGCTTCTCGCTGATTTTGCGAATAGCCTTTCTCAGTAACGGTGAGTTTGCTTGAAACACAAAAAACTGGTTTAACCTCATGCGCATCAGTAATAAATATAGAACGTACACTAGGTAAGTAAGTTCGAAAAACAGCATCACTTTGAGGAAATTTTAAAAGGCTTCGTATGCATGACTCTTGTTCCTCACCCCATTTGAATGAACTGAATAACAAAATTATAAACAAACAATTAACACAAGAAAAAATAGGAATAAATCGGGAAGTATTGAAGAGCGCCCAGCAGCTACCAAATCTTTAAGTAATGCATCATAATTTTATTTAGAAACTAGGGAAGACAACCCCAACTTAAGCTTTTTAAAATTCTTTGAAAGATTCAAAATTTGGTCTATGGCCATGGAAGATGATGAGGATGTTAATGTTGTAGCACACTTCCTCACATTCATAGGAAAAGAAGCATATAGCTTATTAAAAACTCAGGTTTTGCCGGAGAAACCCGTTTCGCTTCCTTATACAACTCTCAAGGATCTACTGCTAGACTATGTTAAGCATACAAACTTCGAATGTGGTAAAAGAAGAAGATTTCGTAAAATGATTCATGAGGATATAAATAGTTCCACTATATTAGGTCATCCCAGCCCAGTCCATACTCAAAGTTATGCAGATAATTCATTGAGGAGTTGCGATGCATTTCACGCAGATGGACACAAGTTTGGTCAATGTTCGTCGTGTGGCGGGCTTTACTCCTTTAATTCATGTAAATTTCATAATTCTGAGTGTTTTAAATGTGGTGATATTGGACATATTCAGTCAGTTTGTAGTACTACTGTTCATCTTGCTGCAACGAATATTAGGTCTTGTAATTCTGATTCTATTAAGTTGAGCATTTATAATGATCATTTATCCTTATCAACAATTTCAGAAGACAGTGTAGATTCATATAGCAGTTCAGAGTTAAATAAAACTCAGTATCCATGCGAGACGACAGTTTCTAATCAATCAACTTATCAGATTCCTCATGCAATTGTACCAGGTATGGTTTTTCCTAATGATTCACTTATTTCTGATGAAATTCCGTACAAATCCGAAGAAAATATGTTGGATGAACCTATTCATCATCGAAAACCTGTTCAGTTGTGATAGGTGCTGACTTTTCTAATGATCCTTTACTCTGCAATGAAATTCTTAATGAATTCGAGGAAACTGATTTAGAAGAGTCAAATCTTGATGTCAAACCAAAAATTACTTGTCTCCATAATGCATTTGTTTCTTGTGGGAAACTTGTTTATTGCGAAGCACAAGTACTAAATGAGCTCCAGTTTGATTACAAGTTGGATGATTTCATATCAACTACTGTTTATCCTTACCACGAAGTCACTTCTAATGTTTACTCTAGTCAATGTGAGAGTTATGTTTTAAATGAAGCCACATCATTCATAAATTAGGGATATAAAGATACAACATTATTTCGTGCGGGAGGATAGTGTTGGGAAATCTGTGCTTTAAATTCTAGGTAGTGGTTTCGGAACACAACCGACACGGTGATTGTATACGATTCCAGGGACCAAGTGTCTGTTCCGATTTCGGTTGTTAATTCCGATACTAACGAGCACACCCTAGATAATAGAATTTTTTATCCAATACAATGGCGGACAGACACAGGATGAACTTAAGAAGACGTACAATCGAATGCAGACACTTAGACTCTAATTTAAGCTGTGACGGATGTGGTGTTTGGATAAACTAATGATTCCTTTGTACTTGTTGAATGCTTGATTTCGAATTCTAAATACAATACATTCGTTCGTTCTTACCTAGTACTCCTTGATCCGATCGCGTTATTTCCGGGATTCTTAGCTCGCACTATAATTTAAATACTCCTAATCATAATATCACCTTTCGTATCCAAGCGAGGATAGGAATCACTATCAAACGAACGCAAGTTTGATTGACCCTAACATTGTATTTCATCATGACGACTGAGCAAATTATTAAAATTGATTTAGAAGAGTTATGAAGTCTCAAAGTGAAAGCCAAGATCCTACAGAGGTCGCGAGGCAAATTCCTCTCTCAACAACAAGTGCAACAATTATTATTGGTACATGAAATCTCTGAACTATGCAGGGGAGCAGTGAAACAGCTGCGGAAATGCAGGGACACAAAATGTCAGTTCTCAGGATAAATTGAACCCGTTGGACCAAAACTAGACAAAATAATCAGCCTCGAGATAGATGTTGTTGTGCTCCGATCAGGAAGAAAGTGTTTTGCACACTCAAGCAGTTGAACATATTTTGTTCAGGAAGGCACGAGAGTTTCAATTGCAGAACACACTGCAAGAAGCAAATGGATAACTAAAAGTTACGTGTTATATAAACACTTTGTAACTTCACACATCTACATCTCTCTTCTCCATTTCTTTGTTCAACAATAACAGATCTAAATAACAAAGTCGGTATAGACAACACTAGTATGAATATGTCATAGGACGACATGGATAGACTGGGAGAAAGGGACGAGAACGGTGAGATATGTTAATTTATCGGAATTCAACAAAATAGTTACAGGTGGCACATTATTCCCCCACGTACGCATACACAAAGCAACATGGATCTCACCCGATCACAGAGGATCAGATCGATCATAGAAGCAACATTCCATGAAGCGCTAGACTGCGATAAGTACCACCATAAAAAATGAATGTCTACTTGTATCCTGCGCTAAATTCAAGAAAAAAAAGAAAAAGAAGACAGCAATCAACAAGACAAACAAGAAGAGAAAGTCGAGGCACAAGCTGGACACACTCAAGCAAACAACCAAGTGAAGAGCATTACAGACGACAAGCAAAAACAAGTGGAGAGCTGGCAACGACAGCGAAAATATCTGCAAGACAAGGTTATCTGAGACAACCATATGACATAACGAAGGAACTGAGAGGAAATTACGTTAAACCAGAGAGACCGGTGAAGGACAAAGAAGGCAAGACAATCAATGACATTAAAGAACTGAACAGATTGGTAGAATACTTTGAGGAACTCTTGAACAGGTCCGTTTCAGTGAATCTACTAAACATCGAAGCAGCACCTCCAAACCTTCCATGGATGTCAGTCCACTAATGATCGAAGAAATCCGGACGGCCATCAAAGAAATCGAGAGTGAAAAAGCAGCTGAATCTGACAATATACCAGATGAAGCCCTGAAAGCGGATATGAAAGCAGCTGCAAATATACTGCACGTTCTATTCAGGAAGATTTGTGAGGAAAAACAGGTGCCGATAGACTAGAAAGAAGGACAGCTCATCAAGATATCAAAGAAAGGTGAACTGAGAAAATGTAAGAACTATAGAGGCATCACATTACAATCGGTACCAGGAAAGGTTTTCAACAGTGTTGTCTAATCTAATAAAAGATTCAGTGAAACAGCAAACCGGAATTCCGTAAGGATCGTCCGTGCGTAGACCAAATCGCCACACTTCGGATGATCGTTGAACAATTGGTTTAGTGGGACCCGTCACTATTCATCAACTTTATTGAAAACGAGAAAGCATTCAATGGCGTCAACAAGAAAATCCTATGGAACCTTCTTCGACACTGCAATACACCTTTGAAGATCGTTAAAATCATCCGGAATCCATACGACAGACTACACCGCAAGGTCATGGACGACAGTTCACATATGCATTCCAAGCGAAGACCGGTGTCGGACAAGGTTGCTTACTCTGACCTTTTCTCCTTCTTAAGATATATTTTATTATTTCTACCTCTGTATCTCAGGGAAAGCATGGAATAGAACGAACAGCTTGGATGCAAATAGACGATTTAAATTTCTCAGATGACCCAAATTTTCTATCCCATACACACCAACAAATGCGGATGAAGATAGCCAGTGTAGCAGCAGACCTCAACATACACAACGGAAGAAGCAAGATCCTCATGTACAACACAGGCAACACCAACTCAATGACACTCGATAGAGAAACTCTAATGTACCTGAACAGCATCATCGATGAAAAGGGGGATATGATGCAGACGTAAAGGAGAGGGTCGACAAAGCTAGGGCAACATTCCGACAACTGAAAAACATATGGAACTCAAAACAACTGTCAACCAATATCAACCACAGAATCTTCAATGCGAACGTCAAAACAGTTCTACTGTACGGAGCTAAAACTTCGAGAACTACTACAACCATCATCAAAAAGTACAGGTATTTATAAATAACTGTCTACGAAAGATACTCAATGTCTGCTGGCCGAATAACACCAGCAATAGCTTACTGTGGAAGAGAACAAATCAGCTTGCAGTCGAAGAGGAAATTAGGAAAAGACGCTGGAAGCGGATAGGAAATACATTGCGGAAATCATCAAACTGCACCACGAAACAAGCTCTGACTTAAAATCATGAATTTTAAAGAAACAGAGGCAGACTAAAGAACATATTGCAAAGGGATTGGAGTTAGATAATAAAAAAAGAGTCGGTTGGAGAATCCTGGTTGGCGGCCTACGCTCCTCCAGTCGTTAGCAAATATGTAACGAAGAATAAACTTCAAAATGATATGGTAAGGCCATCCTTAAATAGTTTACTAGTGAACGATACATTATGCGCTAAAAAAAGGATTTTAATAAAACGTCATTTGAATTCTTAGCATAAATATCATTTAAATTTGTCTTTGCATTGAATCAGAATTGGCAGGTAATGTAGAACTCTTCATTAACCACGTGAATATCTCCTTCATGACGACCAAAAGAAAAGCGAATAGCGGCAGAAATGCGGCGATTAAAAGTGCCATTTGATATGAACCTCTAGTGTCATATATTTTGCCTGTAAAAAAACAAAAGATTTATGAAAATGCCAAAAACAAAATAAGCTTAGCAAAAACTCTTGCAAAATTTAAAATGACCAATGCAAAAATATTTATTCAACAGAGCTTTAAAGTGTTACCATTTTAAATACTTAAGTCGAACTGTTCAAGCATTTAAGTTTTTGAGTAACTTATATATATATATATTAATATATTAAATAAAGTAATATAGTGTTATATCTAAAAATGTGTACGCTTATCATTTTTATGAATTCAGACTTTGATAATGATAATAATAAACGAAAAATTCACATATAATGTAGAAATACTGGACTATGTTGCGGTTTATAAATTGTTTAAACAATACACCATCAGTAAATTCGTATTACAATGTGTAATCGACGAAAATCAATTAACACAATAAATTGCCAAAATGATTTCCTTCTCAAACAGAATCTAACTTACCTTTTTGTAAATACTCACATTAGCTATTTAAAGTTATCATGGACATTTTCACTATGTTTCCAACCGCAGTTAATATCTCTGAGCCTGGTGTTATTGTCGCAACTGCCTATCGCAATATTTAAGTGGTGACTATATAAATACAAGCATAAATTGCATCATTTATTAACCCAATATTTGTTAGAGAGATAAGTTAATATTCGTTAGAAAGGAGAAGAAAGTAAAGAGCTAACTGATCAGAATCTCTCAAACAGCTAACATAAATAGCAGACAAGCAAAATGACCAAGATTATATTGAGTTCTAAATTGTCACTCGACTACCAAACTTATCGTTTATTAAGATTCGAATAGCTAACTTTATTCACACTTTTCAAAATAGTAAGGCGATAATAGCCAATACAAAACACTTAATTGAAGAAACCATTCAGTCCAGTTTTCATTGTTCTAATTGAGTATCTCTATGAGACTTTCAAAGATTAGGTAGAGATTTTTATGATTACAAGTTGATGGATTGAAGAAAATTGAGAAACTATCGGTTCAATTATACGACCTCTTACTCAAAGCAATTCTAACGAGACTAGTCAATTGACTAAACTGACAAACAGTTTATTGAAATACTTAGATATTTTTAAGCCAACACACAAGTGACCCAGAATTACAGTTCAAATTATGTTTTCAAATAAAAATCTGTATTCAATTTCTTTCGACAGACTTTCTAGAATTCTTCATGTCCTGAAGAAAGAAACGACAAAATTTGTAGCCAGAAGATAATTTGATTAGTTATTACCGTACAGAACTTCAGTGTCATTATGAATAAAACGAAAATTGTTTCTTAAAAAGGAAATCATTTGCTTATGAACATTGATAATTTTGCAAACTCTGTAGACACTTCAAAAGCCTACTAAAAATCTGAAATTAAAGGTGAACACTGAAAGTTAGAAAGTGTTTCAAGTAGAACTTACCTCCAATATTAGTTCCGCACAAATTCATAAGACCATTAAAGTTAAAAATAAGCCAAGTCCAGAAGACCATAATTCAGTACCAACAATATCAATGATTAACTGTGGAAACATGACGTACAATCCACCATTTGATATGCCAACAAAAAGACAAGCCAACGCTAATAGTTTTCCTTCTTGATGCGAGAATAATTCGAAGTGCTTTAACTCACTTTGAACAGACCATAATGGGACTAAAGCTATAGTTAGTGTACATGCACTATTTAAAAGAAGTGTTATCAGGAAGATTACTAAATGAAATTTATACTTTGACGATGAACATTTCTTATTGACGGATTGAAAACAATTTGGTTGACAACAAGAGTTACCATTTTCAACTTTGCAATCTTGATTGTTATTTTTACAACATGTACCTATGTCACCAAACTGAGAAGTTACCAAACCATAAAACAATTGACCTGATAGAATGTTAAAGAAAATAAGGAGTAAAAGTAATCAAAGAGTTACTTTAAAAATAGTAGACAGTAAGACAAACAATAAACGGGCTGTAAACAAATATCAAAAATGTGAAATTTTCCCTAAGGAAAAAGAGTTGTAAATGTACTATTAATATAAGTTGAAAGACGTTCCTTCATGAAATAGTAAAAACACAGTTACAAAAAACTAATAAACTAGCACCAAGTTTTTATCCAACTTTCTGGTGCCGAATACAGTACAATACAATGACGAATTTTTCAACTTAGTATACACATTTTCCAATCAATCACCAGGCCATAATCCGTAGTGAACAACCAATTACATGATGTTCGTCATTACTAGTATTTTTAGTTTAGGCGGAAATCGGTTAGATCACTAAACAAACAGATTATACATACATCCAGATGTTTAACTACTTTTGTTTAAAACCAACTGTACTAATAGTTCGCTAAATACTGTTTAATCTCCTGATAGGTAGTTTTATGTCATGCTTTTCTTTTAGGAAAATATCAATAGGAATGCTTTTGTTTATACAGAAACTAGCAATTAATCAACCAGTCAACCAGTTTTCTGATAATAATATTTCTAAGGATACTGTGTTTGACATAAGAGAGGTGAGTTTTACATGATTAGTTATTTTATATAATTTTAAAACACTTAAGTTCATGTGCGACATGAGTCCAAAATTGATTTGATGACAGCAAATAGATCTAACCAAATAATATTTAACCGGTTAATTAAAATTTAGCAGTCTGATCTACATCACACACCTTGAGACTTCTGAAACTATAAGCCATATTTATGTCTGATTTAAAAACAAAGGTAATCCGTTTATTACCTGTTTTATGCAATATCCATATCCTATGCTCAATAACTGTTAGACGAATAAAGTTAAGTCGGCGGTTCTTAGTGAATCAATCGAAAATCGTTCGACAAAGTATGTCTGAGCTTGCATTTGACATCATGCAATGTTTAACTAAATCTCAGGGCATAAATGTTGAAAACAAAATGAACACTTTTCAGCTGCATTGTATTTATCTTTTAGAATTCACATTAACCATGAGAATGTTTTCTTGTATGATTTATTCTCTGCCATAGAAGTAAAGAACTGTCATTTTATTTCTAAAATTCAAGTCAATGATTGATAACCTATCAATCACATCAGCAGTTTTATGAAAACTCTACTCAATTAGCTCGTGTAACAATTCCCTAATTAGAATATAAAAAGTTTATTGCTTAAAACTGACCAAATAGCAATCCGAATCCAATTAAAGATGGAAGCCAAGAAATATCTTGATTGTTTATATCTCCAATTGAATTTTGAGCATTTAAATAAGACAGAGTAGTTAGAACATGATCGTAAATAAATGTCCATGGTATGACAACTCCAGCACCAGCTATACCATTAGCTATTACATAAAATAAAAAATTAGTATTTTTCCATAATTTCGGTGAAAATAACTTTTTAAAGTTTGAAGTGAATTCTTGTAAAAATTGTGGGCATCCAAATGAAAATCTTATTCCATTTATTCTTTCTTTATTGACGATATCATAATCACTATTTTCAGCATTGGTCTTTATAATATTTGAATGAGGTAAAAGTAGACGATAATTTCGAAAGCGGAATAACGATGGAATACATAAACAAAGTGGAATTGAATTCAAAAAGTATTTAGTTATTGAGCAATCTAGGAAAAACAGAGAATAGAATTTATTGAGAAATAGACTTCTTCATAATAGTTTAGAAGCGAAATTCACTGTACGCTTATCATTTTTCGAACTCTTCTGACGTGCTTAAACAATATGTAGTGACTCACATTTATCACGAGAACACGACTGGTTTAATAAAAACAATTATTATTATAACCAACTGTACCAGTGTTTGTTTTAATGTGCTTTTGTTTGACTGTGCTAATGACAGCTATATTGTGCTTCCATTCTGATTCTCACACTTTGATTGTGACTTCGCGCGAATTCGGTTACGTTCTGTAACCAAGCTTGTATCATGGCACGATCTCGGTATCCTTTCGATACCACGAGATCGCCAGCAAATATATCTCGACTTGGTCCATTAACTGCCTTCTGATATTTGGCTTCTCGGGGATTTTATGGATTTATTTGGTTACGTACAACCTTTGCCTTCTGATTTACTTGGCACGTGTTTTTTGGTAGCGGTGTTCATAGTCCACCTCGACTCGACGCCACGCTACAAATGTTTTCATTTGTTTATAAAAAGAAATAGATAGTCAAGGACTAGATAAAACCTGACAAAATCGCACAACCTTCTAGAATGCTATGTTTTGATTCACTGTATGTGAAAATATTTATCAAAAAACAAAGTGCAAAATGTTATAGAACACGTCACGATAAACACAAATCGAAGTACAGATGAGAAATAAAGTGTGGAATAACATGGTATTTATAAATAAGACGAATATGAATCTATCCCACTATGATGAATTAGAACCATCTAATCTCTAAACATTGACATTAGGGATATCATTCACCTTTATTTCTTAGCTTAATTAACCGGAGGCTTATTATTATCTGACACTTATTAATTAGTATGGAACACGTTGAGCATTATTAACACACATTAGAAACATTATCATCCGTACATGTTCACAATCGTCATAGCTTGCTTATTTTTTTGTCCAATAAAATGCACTGAATTTAGACCTTCTTCACTCAATGTTACTATTTCAAGTGAGTGATACATAAAAACAAAAGCTAAAATTGCTAATGACATTAACACATGTGTTACTTTTATCAATCGTATGTTACAATTTTTGAGTAAAACACAGTGAAGTTTTAGGCATTTGATGTCTTCAGTAAATTCAAGTCAATCAAATAAATATAAGATAATGATGATATGAAAACGTTTATCAACTATCTTTCAAACAGGAAAGTTTACGTTTACGTACAGTTTATCAATATTTTATTTTGCAGCATAATGATTTTAATAAAGACAGTAATTTACCAAGTATATGTGCGTGCTTTCTTGTGAATCTTTTGTCTATAAATACATGTTACATCATAAAAATAAATGGTACTGGTACTGAGTCTGTGACCTCTTAAGCAGATTTTTACATCACTCGAGTATATAAAGAAAATCTGAGAAAACAGTTATTATTTATTTATTTGAACGCATAAATATTGGTACAAGGGAGAACCAGATACATAAGCGCTACACAAAAATAATCAGAATGGGAAGAGACAAAGAATGTAAGACGCGTATAAGAGAAAAAGAAGAATAACGACCACAAATTAGTGGATGGTCGTGAAATAATAATAATAGGAGAAACAGAAAGGTACGACCAGAAAGAATCCTTTCGGGTAATGAAGTTACGGCAACTTTTTATGAAAGTAAAAGAAGGTTACAGCAGGATCGCCATTGTCTTCTATTCCGAGCCATATCTGATAACGTCTCTAGCCACTGTGTAGCACCATCTCTCGGACCCCAACCAGGGAGTCGTGAAGGACCGACAGAAGCCAGTCCTTTGCAGCTTTCTTTCATACCACGACACCATGTCATGCACTGACCACCTCTCCGCTTCTTCCAACCAGTACCAGAGTCGGCAAATAATGCACGACGTGGAATTCTCTGGGACGACATTCGTAGAACATGTCCAAGCCACCGAAGTCGGTGTTTCAAGATGGTGACACCAACTGGATAATCGTCTCTGTGCCCGAACACACGATGCCGAACCTCTGCATTACTGACATGGTGTTGCCACTGGATGTCAGCAATCCTTCGGAGACAGCGATGATCGAACACAGAGAGTCGTCTAACGTCCTCAACTCGGAGAGGCCAGGTTTCACAAGCATAGAGCAAAACTGCTCTCACCGACGCGTTGTAGATCCGACCTTTTACAGCCAGACTAACATCACGAAGGCGCCAAAGGTGGCCCAGATTGGCATAAGCCGCTCTGGCTTTCACTATACGTGCATTGATCTCATCACTCACGCCACCATTAGCACTTATGCAGCTAATTAGATACACGAACTTCTCGACTACTTCTATCTGCTCACCATCCAGGGTGAGTACAGGATTAGAATCCTGCCAGTCTTGTAGAAGTACTTTGCACTTCGAAGGTGCAAAGCACATACCATACCTACGGACACTGATTGCCAACTGATTAAGTGCGGATTGCATGCCTTGGGCATTATCGCACAGTAAGACAATATCGTCCGCATACTCAAGGTCGAGAAGTCTTTCTCCAGGCAACAGATCCACACCGCCATTACTTACATTCATCAGAGCTGTTTCCAGAATGTCATCGATGGCAAAGTTGAAGAGGAATGGTGAGATTGGGCAACCCTGCCTAACCCCACTGCTCGAATGGAACAATGGAGAGAGGTGGTTGTATGCCCTCACTCTGCCTGAGGTGTTTGTATATAGGGCTTTTAGGATGTTAATAAACTTCTCAGGCACACCCTTCTTCAATAGACAATCCCAGAGAACAGTCCTATCCAACGAATCGAAGGCAGCCCTGATGTCAAGAAACACTACGATTGTTGGCCTTTGATAAGTATGGCGGTGTTCTAACATTTGGCGGAGGGTGAAGATATGATCAATACATCCTCGACCAGAACGAAACCCAGCCTGCTCCTCGCGAGTCAATCTTTCTCGGGTTTTGAACAACCTACGAAGAATGACGGAAGCCAATAGCTTGGACGCAATCGGAAGTAGACTTATCCCCCGATAGTTGTTACAGGAACGACGTGAACCCTTTTTAAAGATAGGGACAACTATCGACTCATTCCATGACGTTGGTACACTCTCTAGTTCCCAAACCTTTGTAAACAACGTCGTCAATTCCTTAGTCAGAAAGTCACCACCATCTTTAAAAAGAGCCGGAGGTAAGTCATCTGGGCCAGGTGATTTGTAACGCTTCAAGAGTTGGAGTTCCTTGCGGACTTCCTCCTCATTTGGTGGATCAGTCGTCACCGGCCATGGAGGGCAGGACAGTCTGACCGATGTTGCCGGAGCAGCAGGCCAGTTGAACTGCCCTTCGAAAAATTCTGCCCATCGTCCAAGACGTCGATGGATGTTAGTGATTGGCATCCTGTCATCCTCGCAGATTGTTTCACTCACACCAGACTTCTTGCTGCCAGTGGCTCGGATGAGTTGGAAGAGCTTCCGGTAGTTACCAGATGCAGCTGCTGCTTCCAACTCATTAGCACGCTCCGACCACCAGGCTTCTCGGTCCTTACGCAAGCTTTGGCCAATTTCGTTACGTAACATCCTTCGTTTGTGGTCAAACTCACAGTCATCCGGAGGAGACCGACGGACTTCGATGAGTTGTAAGGAGCCTGAAGAAACCCAGTGCTTGTAAGCGGGACTTTTCGCGAAGCTGCAAGCGACTTTACTCGCCATTTTCACGGCGTCATGCAATGGCAACCAATGTTTATCTATACTTTTCAGTGGGATGATATTTAGCCTTGAATCTAGCTCGGTTTGATATATAGTTACAACAGAAGTTACAATCAGTTTACTTACATCAATTCGTATAGGACGATGAATTCGTTGGCCACTAGAAAGTAAGGTAAGATTGGCGCAAACAAGGGCACGATCAGAGTCCAGATAGGTACTCCAAAAGGAGCGGCAGTCCTGTACACGATCGCGATGTGATCAATCTGAGTCCAGACTTGAGATACAGAGGGAGGACGCCAGGTGGCATATCGGCGATGACTGTGCCGAAAGTTAGTGCTAGCCAGAAACAGGTTATGGTCTGTGCATAGTTGCAGTAGACGGTCCCCGTTATCTGACCTGATACCAACGAGTCCCCATCGGCCACCTAAACGACTCTCTTCTGTGCCTAGACGCCCGACCTGAGCATTCAAGTCTCCGGCTAGTACTACAATATCTGTCGAACGCACTTTCTGGAGAAGAACAGATAACTGGTGGTAAAACTCATCCTTGATTGCATCCGGGCTGCAATCTGTCGGAGCATAGGCGGAGATGACGAAAAGACATCGTTTCTCACGCCGATTTCTTCTCACTTTGATGGAACTCTCTAACCTAACAGCACATAACCGACTGTTAATGGGGATCCAATCGATTAGTGCTGCCTCAGCTCGAGCGCTTAGTGCGACACCAACGTCAGCAAGACCAAACGAAGATGTCACAGGGTCCCCAGATAAGCGCACGTAAAACAAGCTTTTCGAAGCGACAGATGAAGAGCAAATTTGTAGTACTTCACTAGAGTCTTGAATATGGGTCTCGGATAGAGAGCAAACGTCGATATCAGGACTTCTTAAAGACGTAGCCAGCCCTATCTGTTGTCCGATTTGCATTATTGTGCGAACGTTGAAGGAAGCCAGTTTGAATGGCGTACGTGTTTTCAGAAATACTGTTTCAGTATTCGTATTCCGTGGAAGCATTCAACTTTCGACCAGGCAGTAACTCGAGATCGTTTAGATAGAACAGAGTTTCCACCATGGGCCAGCTGCTGTATAAGTTGAAAAATGGGGATATATGAGGTGAGAATAAAAAGTGATAAGTGATGTAGCATATAAAAAAATAGTTATGTTAATAAATATGAATGTTATCGAGTAAAAGTGAAATGCCTGAGTTCTGATCGAATAGAGCATAGTATTTTTTGAAATATTTATCATCTCACTAATAAGGACTAGACAAGCATGACATTGATCACCACCCAGTGATCAATCAATTGTGATTACATCTCAGTCCTACAGGAGGTCAGTCGCGGCTCGGATAGCTCAGTGGTAACGTCTCTGACTGTGAAGCTGGGTGACACGAGATCGAATCCGCCAGGGAGCACCAGTTCCCTCAAGATTACAGGTACACCTTGCTGACAAGTGCCAAGTAGCACAAAACCCGGGTCCAGGGTTTCCTGTTGACTACCTCCAACCACCATCTAAATCTCAATACATAGTTCCCGCAGTGTCGAGTCACTTAGACTGGTGGCCACATTGCAACATGATCGATAGCATTCGATCTGCACTAATAAGGACTAGACAAGCATGACATTGATCACCACCCAGTGATCAATCAATTGTGATCATCTCATCAAATTTGTGTGAGGGCTGTGATACTGCCCGGGTGCTCAAATTGAAGCAGATGGTTTTCATAGGGGGCCACACCCTGAGCCTTTGACCTAAAGATCCGATCCACAAGGCAGCGGAGCTTCGTTAGATGTAGTCGCATGGTAGTCAGTGACCAACGATTGGTTCATACGCAATTTGTTCCTGGAGCTCATGTGCACCATTCGTTTGGAATCGTGGTTTTCCAACTCCTCTATGCGCTCTCCGTGTTCATCATCCCGGTTAAAGCACTGGAGTTTCGCTTTTCATCCTCTCAATTTCGTAGACAATACCCCCGCTACGAGAAGGTAGTGAGTAGGATTTCCCTAGCAGAGGCTATATGCGCCTGGCCATGTGAGAGCATTTCGAGAGGGAAAGCGGACTCTCCCCACTCTCGGCCGTACCAGGGCATTCGAGGGCAATGAGAAAACAATAGAGGTGAAGATATATTTTAATAAGATTTGCGCATAATCTACATTTCATGAACAAGCTACTCTTCTGTATACACATTATTGAGAAAATGGAGAAGGATTGATTAGGTGAGTTGTTGATGATGGTCGCAGCTTATAGCTCAATCACCCATATTTGAAACAAATTAGGCATCTTCAAACAGGTGAATGAAACATCTAGGAAGTAAAAAAACACATAAATCCTGGCCATTTTGAAGGGGTAGCACAGTTTATCCAATTAAGATTATTAATAAATGCGAATCAAAATTTCAACCACGAATAAATTGCTAGATCTTGTGACCACCGATTAGAGAGCAGTGACTTATCGATCGAATCAAAGACGCGTAAAACACGTACGAGCAGTCTACAGTCTTGATTGGTCCTGTTTTCCGCCTAGCCCAGCCAGTTAAGTCCACAACACCAATATCAGCCTCTGCGATATGAATCATTTATTTCAAACATATGGGGTTTATATGCCAATAAAACAGACCGCATCGCACCATAAAATAGGAAACAACATTTGTACAAGATTTGGCCAAATGTGAATGTGTAAGGTAGTGAATTAATAGACAGGCCATAATTCGAGAATGGCAAATCGTAAAATAATAGTTCATAGGTCGAAGTAAAGCTTATAATAAGAGGGACATGAATATGAGCAGTTTAGTTATTTAACAATTATACGATAAAAATATACGCATAGTATTGGTCCATAAATGGATCCCCAAAGTTACCATTCATTATGTTTATCAGGACCTAACATAAATTTAAACAGCTTCCGACACTAACTGGAAAATGGCTATAACTCTCATCTTGTAAAACCATCAACAGCTTCGTGCCGAGTCGGTATAAAGTTTACAAAAAGAAGTGTCGGAACGATTAGATAATTAAAGATTCTAAAATTGAAATTTAATATTTTGTTAGTTTTAGCCAGCAATTTAATTGTGTAGAAGGCATGTTAACGAGGATGTTTAAGCTAAAATGAAATAGTAGTTTTAAAACCGTTTATTTCTCAGTATTTTCCATCTTTAACACTCTTTGATAAATTTTATTGAAAATAATTTAATCAAACGTGTACAAAAATGTGAAATTATTTAAAAAACAAGATATACATACCACTGGCGAAATCTGCTTCAGAAGGATACTTGTTCTGATGGTTTGTATCTTCTATCTTGAAAACAGAAATTATATCTCAATAAAGTATTAAAAAATTGTAAATGTTTTGAAAATTTCACATTATTACAGGTAAATTAAACTATATAACTTATAATATGTGAAAATTATATTTAGAATAATATCAGTGATTGAAATTTAAATAATTCCAACGTTTCATCCAACTAACTTGTCTGGACTTCTTCAGGGTAATAAACGTAACTTATAGTTGTCTGCCAAAATATTTATAAAAAGACTAAAGTTACTGAACTGTTAGGATCGATAACTACTACTGCTTAAACAGTAAAAAAAGTGACCTAATACCAAGTTTTAATTACATTTTACTTACAATCATCTAATGAGAACGTTAAAAATCGTAGATTTTACTAAACTTATTCTAAAATAAATTTCTATAATCACACACAGTCTTTGATATAAATTTAGTCTGATTGGTAAAAATCAGTACTGATCAATCGTGATTATTATTATTATTATTATATTTAATTCTTCACTTAACTAGTAAATTTGCTGATAGTATAAAAACAACATAATGGAAGAAAACTGAAGAACAGCACAGACAGCCATATAAATTGGTATTGAGAGAAATGAAAATGATTTATTATTTGACAGCTATAATAATCAAATAATTCAACCATGTCATCTGACATATAATTGAAGGGTGGAATACAAAGAAGTCACTTTGTAGTTGTAAATGTTATAATGATTCTACACTAGTTATGTGATAATCGATTGCTTTCGATTAGTATTAAGAGAATATTCACAAATTGACATAATATGTAAAATAAATCATTTCAATCCTAAGTTTGAGAAAGCCAGTTAGACATCATGAAATGGAATAATATAAAGAGATACATAAATCCAAAGTGTTGAATAGCTAGACTGTTAGAATTTATAACCTTTTTCGTTATTGAAATATAGGATTTTGGGTTTGATGCATAATTCATCAATTTTGGTCGAGTTTTGTTCTCTGAGCTGGGTGGTTCGGTCGTGGAGCTTTCATCGTTCTTCTGAACGACATCATCAGCACAAACTTCAGATAGAAGTGAAGTGTTCGAATTTCTCCATATGTGTTTCACAGCTTGTTCTGTGCACCTCGATGTTGATTGGTTCTTATTGACCTTAAATTTGTCATTGTTTACTTCTTTGTTTTGGTTGTGTCTCCCATTGGTTTAACTTTTGTTCCTATATTTGTGCATGATTTTCCTTATTGGTTGGTAAATTGGATTGATTTCAATATGCTTGTTGATTGCTGATTGACTGCTACAATTGGACGTAGTGGAATGTTTGGTTTGTGTATTTCTGGTCTGCCGTAGAATCGAGGGAGTACTAACCTATTGGATTTCATTCTCCATTAGTCTTGTTTTGTTATTTCTTCTGCTTTGACTAGCTTGTTTAAAGTCTTTGAGATCTGGTTCTTTAATTTTTTGACGGGATTTGTATCCATCAGTTTGTATGTGCTCTTATCTTCAAGTAGTTCTTCGGCTTTTTTGACGTATTCTTTTTTGTCCATGACTACTTTGGTGCGTCCTTTGTCCGCTGGTATTATAATAATATCCTTTCTATTTCTGAGTTCCTTCAAAGCCTTTTGTTCTTGTGGAGTCAGTTGGTTGTTTTCCTTCACCTGTTGAGTTATCGGTACTATAGTTTGTCTTATTTCTTGTTGTGTTTCTTCACTGATTCCGGAAGTTTTGAGTGATGACTCTAGTGCTGCGAAGAATTCCAGCTTTGAGGCGTCGCTTGTATTGTAGTTTAATCCTTTTTAGAGTAGGTGTTCTTCCGTATTTATTAGTGGTTGTTTTGACACATTGATCACGCAGTTGTTTGTGTTTTCTTCCATGGGTGGTTTTGAGATCTTGATCAGTTTTTTCTTTAGGGTGTTTCTTCTTTGTTCTCTGTGTCGTTTGCATGATATCTCGATGGCTGTTGTCAAGATTTCCAAATGTTCTGACGTGAGTGTCCTTCGTAGCTTCATCTTTTGATCCTCTATGACGTGTTGGTATTTGCGGATCCTGTAGTGTGTACTACTTTTCTTCCACTTTGCTCAGTTATTTTCCATCCTAATGGGCAGTTGGAGGTCTACATTTTACACTTGTTGGTAGAACACACTGGTGAAGACACTCATGGAGAAAATATAGTTGTTCTCGAGTGGAAGCCTGCCTTTTGGCGAAATTCTCCCATTTTCAAACAACAACAATCAACAAGCATATTGAAATCAATCCAATTTACCAACCAATAAGGATAATCATGCACAAATATAGGAACAAAAGTCAAACCAATGGGAGACTGTTATAACGTGAAAATGATGCTGCTGATTAAGGGTAGGGAATTATTGATCGGACCAAAGACGCGCAAACACGTAGAACAGCCTAGGGTTCTGATTGGTCTCGCTCCCCTATCTAACCCAGCCAGTTGAGTCCAGAACACAAGTCACAGCCTCGGAGATATGAATCATTGTATTTCAAACATACTTTGTTTATATACCAGTCAAGCAGACCACAACGTCCCATAAAATAGAAAATAACATTGTACAGTAATGGCCAGTAGGAAAATGACACGTTAAACAAATATTCACCAATAAGATGATACCATTTCATGTCCAAGGATAACATTAGGCTTAACAGGATAATTCTTGGGATATTTTCCTGAATATCCCAACAGAGACAACCAAAACAAAGAAGTAAACAATGACAAATTTAAGGTCAATAAGAACCAATCAACATCGAGGTGCACAGAACAAGCTGTGAAACACATATGGAGAAATTCGAACACTTCACTTCTATCTGAAGTTTGTGCTGATGATGTCGTTCAGAAGAACGATGAAAGCTCCATGACCGAACCACCCAGCTCAGAGAACAAAACTCTACCAAAATCATCCACCTGAGCTACAAATCTTCTCCACCATCTCATAATTTATCAATATTGAAACTCTGACTTAAGTTCATATCAGTTAATTAATGTAAAGTTCAGTGCATTTATATATGATCTCTTTCAAAATATGAAACATGCACTAATAATGCAGCAATGTCAGTTAACCCAGAGTGAAATACACAAACAAACATAATTTTACGTTTATTTACGAAACAAAGTATACATATTGTTTTCACAAAGGATAGCAACATAGAACAAGTGATATTGTCATAGATAATAACTTGTATGTACTGAATAAATTACTTGTCTAAGGATGTTGAATGCTATCAGTTGATACACTACTTTTTATTTGCATTCTGCTTATTTATTAACTATAAAGAAACTGTATATGTAGTTATCCGGTCAAAAGTCACAATTCAAACTATCAGATTTAGATAGATATATCACACGCTTATTAAAATAATTCTGTCTAATGACAATAAAAATTTTTTTGCACCGACTAAGATGTATATTCTTCTTAAATCCCATGAAATAAATCGGTTGTTATATCTATTTCCTTTCGATCATTCTGTAAGATGTCATATGACAAAAAACAATTTTCATATCACGGTGTACAAACAACACTATTAATCTGTTTATTCACATTTGTATTCTAATAACTTTAAAGGCCGAAATTATTAGTTTCAAATATACATTTACCTTAATAAACTTAAAAACGAAGCCCATTGATTATTAAAGAGTATGAAGACATTTCGGAGAAAAAAATCCACTTTCGACGATATCATTTTCTTGTGCTGTACAAGGGCATTTATGGGTAATATAAAAAACTTATAACTACGATTGTACAGCATTGAAAAATGATGTCGTCGAAAAGAAAATTTTCTCCGTTGAATTGTCCTCACTCTCTCTAATGGAGCATCGAAAATTCAGAGTTCACTATTGATATTTTTGAAGAGATCACGGGACCACCTAAAATTGGCGACACAACTACAGACAAGCTAAACTATTCCTATGCGTCCCAACCCAGTTAATTAAAGGGCGAAGACTAGGTTCAGATGAGAGAAAGTTATATTTTACAAGCAGCTAGAAGCACGAACAATTAGGCAATCAACTCAAGCGTAGATATATAGAATGAAAATGTCCTTGTGGAACGTCACAAAATAGCGCATTAAAAGAACAACGAACGAATGACACAACATACCTAGCTGAAATATAAAAAATGTATACATTTAATTACATTTCTAAAACTAACACTCCATATAGATTTATTCCAAATTTACTAGTATTGGACAATGCAAAAGATAATTAAAATGTAGTTTGATAATTTAGGAGCTTATTCGGTCAGTCAGCTACAACGTAGGACCAGGCATACAAGTGCATCGGTCCAAGTTGCCATACCTCATTAGCACAACACTGGATTCATAGAAGTAGTTAATTCAGTGGTGGTCATATATCAAAGAAAGATTGCATATAAGGACATAGTACAGGAGAAGGAATTAGTTCACAGAAAGAAAGATAAGAAATGATTTTAATTTCATAGTTTAAAGGAAGACAAGGAATGTATACACCGACGCCATTGTGATCGATTCTGAGCCATGTCATCCAGAGTCTTCAACCATTGGTTATGATAGTCACGCGGATCCCAATCGAGTAGTCTGCATCTACCAACATGGCTAAGACCAGAAGTTAATGACTTCAAGCACTAATGCCACGTTTGGGTTTGACCGCCCTTAACTTTCTTTCAACCATCCCCAACACCAGTTAGCATTGCTCGTCGTGGTAATCGGTGTTCAGGCATACGCAAGTGGGAAATACAATCTGAAGGTAAAAATGGGCATTTCTAGCGCAAAAACGAGAGATTCAAATTTCCAATACAAAATTACAAAAACATGACGGTTACCAAGTGATTTCTGGATATCTGGCATTCCCAACATCTATCAAGTCATTGGATCGTAACTAATGGTCGCCCGTTAGGTTCGGATTGATGACAGAAATCTCCAAGTTAAACAATTAGTGTAATTTCCTTGACGAACATGGATCGAGATCAAATTACACCACTGTTACTATTAAGCAGTTGAGGGCAGCCAATAACACTTACTGGATTTCGATTATAAGTAGGATACTTCACAAACAGTAAATGCATATATTCCTTCGGTGTCTGAACCATCGCGACCTAGTACAACTTCTTTTCTTGAGCAAAGATAATGTTTCCAAAAGTTTCACTAAAATGATATTATGGATGTCACATTATAATCTACACACATTATAATCAGCAGACCTAAGCTTTAGTAACTTCAGGTTTAAATGCGTCTTATTATAAGTTATTACGCTTAACAGTACTTTTAAGGTGATGACGGAGAATGATCTGAAACTATTGTCACAACTCGAATGATTGACACACAAAGTATGTTCATTTCAAGTTATTTGAAACGACCGTTTCTACATACTCACACAAAATGGCTAATTTTATCAATTTACATAACAAACATTTCTAGCACCACGAAATTACCTTAGCGAAAGCATGTACATAGCTCAAAATAATTTACGACAGTGAGGAAACTATAATTGCAAGGAAAACCTTACCTTCATAAAATTCAAAATGATGTTATTATATTCAAGTAGATACATAGTAATGTACCTTCGTTCTTTTAGAATTTTATGCTAGATGTCCAACCAAAAGGCAACGAATTAGTTTATCTAACCCAATAAACAAGCTTATTGTTGAAACTGTAACTCCTATATTTGGGTATCCATGATTGTTGATCATAAACTCATGCATAAAGCCTGGGAATATTCATAGTAAAGCTTTTTCTAGTAGTATTCCAATTATGCTGGATGAATTCTGTTAAACGTTATTTAATCACGAGAATAGTTATAAATAACTTTTCAAGAAATACTGTATTGTTCCTTTGATAAAAACTAATGTATGGAAATAAAATCCGAAATATGTTTAGGAAGTACAGTCCTGTTCATAATCAGTTGTTTTCCTATTGTATCATAGTCTAGTGTGATGGATAATTAATGCTTTTGGTTGATAAGTAAAAAATGTTATTTTTCTGTAAGCTCATCTAAAACAGTAATTTCAAATTTGCTGCATAACTTCTCATAATATATGTCTATTGCCAAATCAGTGCTTTAAATAGCTACAAAACGAAATTTAGAGAGATTTTAAGAAAAGTTCCACTTGGGACTATAAACGTACTTTAACTTTGCATGATTTGAACAATAAAATATTGTAACATTATATTTTAATCAAACAATGATAGCCTTTACGATGACTTACACCGTCAGGATAACTCAGCTCATGTTTCACTACTGTTATAGCGTTTAGTTCTGCATCTAAATGATGAGAACACGATGCTGTAACCAAAATGTTCAGAAGTATGGCGGATTCGATCAATAACACTTCACGCCAATTCCAAATACTTAGAAGCCAAGCAAGAAGGTAATTCGATCCAAATGCACCAACACCTGAACCACACATAGTGAGTCCTATGGCTAAACCAAAACTAAATGTAAAGATATTTTGGAAAATAATAATTTGTCGTGGAAAACCTCAGAAGCTGAAATAAAAAGTGCTTTACAAGGAAAAGTCAGTAATAAAGATCTATATCCATAAACATCAAGTTTTCTAGTGACAAATAACTATTGAAAATAACTTGAGTATCTATTCAGGAAACTACTGTTTCGATAGTTGTAGCTTTTTTCATGGATTTTAGGTCAACTTAATAATTATCTTACGCTAAGAAAATGATCATTTACTACGCCAGGTTAAGTTTGTTCATTCAATTTACTAATACTAGTATTGAATCCAAACTATATATGAAAAAAGTGAACAAAACAGTATTCACATCTTAGATACCTGAATTCAGACTACTTCATAAATATCTTAATGAAATTAACATGCGAATTCATCATGAATTTTTATTAATCTATCAAAAAAGTTTTAAGAAGAATAAAATAGATGAAGCTTCTGCAATTGACTTCCATGTGAATATAATTAAAAACCGTTGTACATTCTCTAAACGTTTGTATTGAAGTCTTAGTATGTATTAATGTAACACAAAAAGACAGCAGGTACTAATATGTTATGAAGAACCTCGAAAGTAATATCAATATGAATGAAATATATGCAGATACGACAAAGGAATGTTAACTTGAGAATATAACAAAAAACAGAAAAGCCTAGACAAATCCGTTTGATTTCGAGTTACGCTTAAAATTTTATTTAAGTACAGTAAAATGAAAGGATGTAAGATAGGATGAAATCATAAAAATTAAAATACATAAGGATCGGTTTATCACTAAAAGTGAATTCAAAGTCCAGAAAATTGTTAAACTTCATTTAATTTTACATTGGTGAAATCAATTATTTTCAATTAGCAGAGGTATTTTGCTTCTATTTATTATGTATTCAGCTCTCATTCTTTACAAGATTTATTAAGGCAAAAATAATAATTGTAATGGTAATGTATTATACGTAAAATACGATATTAATATTTTATTTCTAGAAGCCGATTTTCATGTTTCTCATTTTTCTCTTATAAACTATTTATACATATAACCTAAAGATAATTAATTATATGAGAGGTTATGACCATTTTTCATATTCCTTAGATTTTGGAAATCTAACTCTTTATTAATTTCAAATTTGATCAAAACATCTCGTTAAACATGACATCAAGTATGCACACTCGTTTTAACAATAAGTAATGTTGTTTTGAGGTTGTAAGAAACTGCAAATAGTAAATAAATCAAGGTTATTCTATTATTATTGTTGTTCTTCTGATACAAACATTCATATTTTAGCTAAACCTCTAGGAAATGACAAACAATTCGATTTTTTGTGAAAACTGTTATATCCCTTGAGTTAAGTAAACTAATTAATGTAAAAGTTTTTTCGGAAAATGACGTAAGAAAAAAGAAAGAGTCCATAGTAAGCTAAATTTGCTAAGCTCTAATATTTCTAGGCAAATTTTGCATTATCAAGTCAGGTAGATCTCTGCATATAGTTGTAAGTTTGAACCTCATTCTACATAAATTGGTTTAGATAACCAGTTAGAATTACTGTCCACCACACAAAAATGATGGTATGAATCGGATTACATGAGTGAGTGGTTGGTTATTTAGTTCCGTTAAGTTGAAAAACTGAGTATAAGCACTATCTGTATCAACAAAGAAAGCATTTCTAAAATTCGTGAATACCTCATCTGTTTTTATAAGGTTTAGGAGTTATTTGCTAATTAAGAAGTACTCCTTAAAGCAGTGGACTGTCTAATAATACCATTATTTTATCAGATGACATGATAAAAGGAAATAGCACTGATATGCACTCTCGTTTTTCGTAATTTTTCAATAATAAATAACTATTTAATTTGTCAATTTGTAGTTCAATACAATCTGACATACATTTTTTGAGTTTTTTGATGAAAAGCTAGATAATTATTCAAGTGTCTAGTGAATAGGATTTTGAACATGTATAGGAGAGTACAGTTAGTTAAGTATAGAAAACAAACACCAACATCATACGTATGCTAATAAATGATTTGTCAGAATTATCCTCGGTATTCCTTTCAATACACAAACGTATTTTTCTTTTTGAAAAAAAGAAAGAAAAAGATAACATGGAACGCCTATATTTTTAATCAGTGTCAGCTCCTACTTAAGAACGAATCAAAACTGAGTTATATGCTTGAATATTCCGTAGAATTTGTATTGCTTCTATAAATTTATTTTCCATGGACAGAAGAAGTTCAAAAACCATTGGAACCTAGTGATTACCAAACAGCTCTCTATTCATGGCTTAGGATTCGTCAGCTGTGAGGACTTATGATCGGACAAAAAATCAATTTGAACTAGGAACCATTCGGCGACTGAAATGAAACATTCAGAACTAGTCGGAACACTGATGAAGTGTTGGCTAATTCTTTTAGCTTATGTCGGTCTATAGTAAAATTTAACTTATGAGTCATAAATAATGTAGTATCTGAGACAAACGGGCGTCGCTTTAAGTCATCACACTTTACATCAGGACAGAGGTAAGAAGTAGACCAGATAAAAAGGTGATCGAACAGTAATAATAAGGAAGAACGCTGTCTTTAAGTATTGCATGCACTTTGCTTCTATATGAGTAGAGTGAGTTTGAACATTTACTTAGTCTTGGTTAAAATCTTTTGAAAATATTCAAGTTCATATTGTCTCTAATTACTTGTATTGGTAAAGATACTGCAGTTAGTCTACGTGCAATAAAGTCCGAAATCCTTTCTATCACCTGGGTTATCTGTGGTGGTGTGAAAACGTTCATCTGACCTTAAAATGTATGATGTAAAACACGTCGATGAGAGAAGTTCTGCTCTTTACACAAATCAAAATACATCTTTACTGTGAACGAAAGCTATCTTGCTTGTGTTTTTGTTCAAAGTATTTTTTCATTGATTTATCTATTATATGAATTTTTTAAGCGTACACTTCGTCATAATAATTTTCTGCTGACTTATTATACTTATCGTTTTGTATATCACAGGAAAATAAGTAACTGTTTGCAGTTAAAAAGTAACAAACCGGACAAAAAAAATGAAAATTACGAGACCACACTAATCTCAAGGAAACTAGAATAAATATATATGAGTTCATTAGAAGCTTTGAAAGAAAAGGAGAATCAAAAAAGTAGATATATTCATTTTTACAGCCACTTATTCAGAAGTACTTCTGGTTTTTGCGTCTGCATCAACGTACGTAAGATTCTGGTATCAAGCCTTATTTTCAAAATATTACCATTTACCAAGCAACTGCATACATTATCATAATTAAAGTGTATTAAAATTTTATCAGGATGTCGGAAGTGAAATTACTTAAATTCACACTCGACACCTTCAAACTAGCATTCTGAAGAATTTATTCTTGATCAGATCCAAGATTATCATTAAAATACAGATTTATTTTTGAATGCATTACATTTGTAACGAGTGTCAAACAAGCACTTTTAGCTAGGGTTCTTTTTTCCCATTTACCAGTGTTTAAGGCATAAAAAGTGAAGTACTGACACTCTCTGTGTTGTCATTCAAACAGAGGATTCGGCGAGACCAATTTATGGACGAGCTGATCACAAGCGTCTTAGAGATTTTAAGGTTACGGCGCCAACTTCAGTGCTTAATGCTAACGTACGATCGGTTCACAGGGAATTTTGTACAAAGCATGATAATTGAGAGGCTATAACAAATAAAACGGCGAGACTATAATTTGTGGACGAATCAATCGGGTATAAGATAATAGATCTCGGATTTCAACGCAAAAGACTTTCACCCATTTGGCTAAATAAATTTCTGGCATTATAGCTTATGTCAGTTCGTGATAAAAACTCCATATATAATTCCTAACTAAGGCAAATTTTGACAGTTATTGCGAACTGGATAATAAAAGCACCAGTAATACTGGCTGCAGCCAGGTACTACAATATATACGGATGTTTGGAGAGCGTACAGACTCCTAAATAGACTTGGTTGTGTGCATCGTGTCGTTATCCACAAGTAGCATTTTGTGCACTCAACAACCGGAGTGCACATAAACAATATTGAAGCTATGTGATCGAGGCTGAAAGAGTTTTTGAGACTTTGTCATGGCTCCAGAGGCCGACTATTCTGTAGCCGTATGGATGATTTTAGAACCTCTTTTTTGAAACACGTATAAAAAGTTTATCCACTTTATTTTCTTGATTTTGTATAACATATTTTTACTCCATACTGACCGTTTGCTGATTGGCTAATATTTATCAAGGTCACTTAAGATTCATTCAAAGGTCGTCCATAAATTAGAGTCTCGCCGAGGATTCTTTAAGGGGTTTATCCAACACAATCGTAATTATTCTACTTTTACACCACATATATGTATATTTATATGGTAAACCGTTAACTAATCATTTTACGCATTTTATCCCCAAGAATTAGTTTGCATGTAGATCAATGTAATTTTTTGTTGCTAATGGGTCAAAAAACTGAAAACATCTAAAACTTTATCGCTCATGTGAAAACTAAGGTTAAAAATTCAACTCACTATGAACTGTTCTCGAATTGGGCAGTAACTGACATCAGTGCAGATAAATATGTCAACTGAAGTCCAATACTGGTCAATATGCCCAGAGTCAAGTATAAAACGTGAAAGCTGTTCGCAAATGAGGAAACTAAAATAGTATATTTAGTATAGAATTATAACCACATTCTAAACTTACCAAAGCATCCGACCCACATTAACAGTGCACCCCATGCAGAACCTGACGAAAACCCATAAGTGTCAAGTAGTGGACACAGAAAGGGTGCAAAAAATTGAGGCATTGAGAAAATCATTCCAGGTAGGGTGGCAGTTTCAACACTACTAAGGTGGAAAGCACTCATGAGCTCCGAATATAATATACCCATAGAGTAAGTGTATCCATCAGCCAGCATATACGAAACAAATCCACCAAAAATTAATAATAACTTCTGAAAATCATTCATGTCAATACGATAACGTAAAGAGATCCAGTCACATAAAATCGATCATATAAACTTTTGACATTCTGTTTATACACGTGTAGAATAATTGAAACTACTTACTTACACGTAATAGCAGTTTATCTGACACAAAACCTGAACCCTAAATTTTAGAAATGTAAGTATCAATAAGTAATGTCAAACAAACCCCAATAATTACTTTTAAAAATATGGCTCAAAGTAGACAATTACCACACTTCAAGAGGTAGTTATATAAAACAATACAAGTCAAACTAGTGATTGAAAAACACTGACAGTTCATAGCAGTGATGAAACATTAAAATGTTTATTCTATGAACTTGGTGAAAAAATGTAAACTAAGTATTTTGTCATCTAACGAAAACAACTAATCTTCTTTTCTAAGCTTCAAAAATGTAAGACAGTAGAAAAGTTGTATTTAATTACCTTAGCTATAACAGAGAGTTGAGTATTTCGACAACATATCTGACTCATCTGACCATTCAAACAACGGGTTTTTATCACAACCTATGTGTTGGTAATTTAATGGTCGCCGCAAATTCTCTATCAAAGAACAAACAAGTATGTCATTTTAGGAAAATATGTAAGCCTCCTAAGCAAGGTTAGAATGACTGTGCAGACTAAAATATTTATTTAAAATTAATCCAGAAACTCCAACTGTTACAACTCAAAAATTATGGAATTTGGCCTGACGATTTTACCTCTCTTTGCTAATGGGCCATGGCACCATGAGCCAATGTGCATACGTACCAGGCTCTATGTTGCGAATGGATAACTGACTATCAGTCTGAAAAGTTACAATGCCTGTATGCATTATACCGTCACGTTTTATCTCTAAGCGCGGATACCGATGACGGGCTATTTATCATGTCAGTTTAGCATGCCTGGTAACGCATCAAAGTAAATCTAGTTTCCGACGTAGGAGGACAACAACTTGCAATTAACTACCATTATTTAGTGTCTACGCTGCATCTATAAAGACATTTAAAAGTCTGGTAAGGTGACTTTTTCAATCAAATGCAAAACAACTCCTACAAACATCACGGAAATATTGCTTTCATATTAGTCTCATCTGTTTAACAAATCAACTAACTATTGGACAAAAATGAACCTCAATATGTGCAGTTTTTAACTTTCCCCATGCCTATGGGTGATTTATTCATGAAAGCATTGTAAAGAGTGACACTTGGTTCATCGTTTTTTAAAATAGCAAACTTATTTTAGAAAAAACCGGACAAACCAATCCTAGTGATATACAAACACGAGCCTAACAATTTGAAACGCTCAAAATCGAATGACCCTGTAGATTGCGTTGACAAATAAATCCTCGGAAAAACAGCTATACAGACGTCTAATGGTGGCATTGGTTGGTTTAGTTCTAGCAGATACTGACAACTAGAGGCGCCTTGTCAAACATAACGACCATATACCAAAACAACTCGCGTGATATACTTCTTTTGCTTTACACAATCTGGATATTAGTCTGAAATTCATCTACCTCCTCCTTAAACAAATGTGTAGCTTCTACCGATCTTTATAATCTTTTAAATTTTTACTCTGAGTAGTAAACACCAAAGAACTTTATACTATATTTAGCACACGACATTTGTCGTATTGATGACATGTAATCAATATATCGTATACGATAAAGTTCCAGCTCTAAGATGGAACACACAGGTTCCATATATGTAACGCATCGTATCGATAACGAATATTTTACTACTTTATCCAATGTAGACTTATAGACTGGAATTTTTTGTCGCTGATAACTGACTGTCAGTTTTAGAAAGCTTGTAATGGAATCTGTAAATCTCAACTAACACCATAAGAGTTACCCCCAATCTAAAATGACAACAGTCAAGTTGATAATTAATTTAATTCAGAATTTCTACAGTAAAAATTAACTCATGTAGACAAATACAAAAACGCGATACCGTCTCCCGGCACTCAAAGATTTGCTAGTTCTAACGACCTTGAGTAGAGATATAAACAGAAGGCTCGAACTCCCTAAAATCTATTTATTGACAGTAATACGACCTGCACGATGGAATGGTACTGGACAAGAAAGTTTTTCAAAACTCGTTTTTATACATTTATTGGCGCTGGAGACGTGAAGAATTTTATTCTTTTCGGCCGACCAATGTAATTTCAAAAAGAATATCCCAAAGGAATCCTGCAAAATGATGTTTCGCGGAAGGAACATTATTGCGTAGGGTCTCTGGGAAAGATGATAATTCATTTCTTAACGTTTGGGGGTATCTCTATTCAACAATTGCTACAGTTTTGCCGAGGAGGACGAGAGTAATAGACCCCGGGTAATTATGAAGACTTTCTCTACATCCGAGGAGGAGGCTTCTACTCTGGAGGCATTTCGTGCTTAGGGATAACAGATATAGAATGGAATGAATGTGATGAAAACTCATTATCTTTACTTGAATGTAAAGTTAACACTTTCTATCCCTTTACTTGCAACTTCCCTACAAATTCTGATTTGCAAGGATATAGAACCATTCACCTTGTCTCTATCTATAGTCTTCTAACATTTCTCTTGATGTGTAGTTTCTCAGTGTTCGACCTAATGTTTTAACTCAGTCGCTGTTATCGATGGCAGTAAGATTTAGTGAATGTATTCCTGGCTATTATTGCTTTATTCACTAGATTGGATATCCCTAAGAGATAGAGTTAACACATTCCGTTAGTTATAAAAGCTTATTGCCATTGAGAACTTAGATAGTTCACTTTCTGAAAAAGTCAGCGGTTGATTACTGACCTATGATGCAAATTGAACTGATCCTGATTTGTGAGTACCTGTTAGTTGTATGGAACTGGTTAAAATTATTCAGGTACTGTACATTTACATCTTTATATTTATTTTTCATTCTCATTTGTACTGTTACAGTCTAAGTTAAATGATTAGGAGTTAGTCGACAACCTTACATTAGGATTAAAACTTTACAGGTAAAATATATATTTACTTCCTTCTTTTGTCTGATCATTACATTTCCTGTTTTTCTGTGTTGAATAGTAAAAGGTCGATATGTTTAAATTAGGGCTTCATGCGTTTCAGCTATTTGTTGATAAATCTACTAAGATCACCTTTAAAATTTTCTATATCTACTGAACGAGGATTATGTATAGACCAAACAACACCACTTGTTTATCAAGTTATTTTCCTTCTGATGACTGGGCTCTGTAGGCGAATAAATATCAGGTCTGTGGCTGTACAGGAGAATAATCCAGGGCTGTTGATGTTTTGAACGTGACATAAGTGGTATAGTTCGCCTGTTTAAAAAGCCCGTGTATTCAAATTACTTTTATATCTGTGTAAACCCCATTCAAGTAAACAGGACAAGGACAAACATGTATTTCGTAACGAATGAAACAAGTATTTACAATCAAAAGCCACATGTCCACCATACAAAACGGGTGAGTTAAGTGAAATAAGCTATACAAATGATAATAATAATTCATTCTCAAATGACAGTTTGTTACGTGAGGCATGCCAGTTTACAAGCAAAATCAAATTGTTGCAAAAGATACAATTTTCACTGTAGTAAATTACTCAACTGGATTGATATTTTATGAGATATGAATGTACATGTTTTTAGTAAGGCTCGTATTGTCAGTATAACGCGCTTTATGAAGTTCACGCTGCGATGTACGACTGATGGTCGAGAGTAGATCCATGTGAAGTTGGGGGCCTCTAGAAACCACAACCTTATGACCATACTTAAGGGGTCGAAGTGAAACATAATCGTAATTTTCAATCTAAACAATATAAGTGTTTTCAACTCATGAGGGGTTGTTAATTGAGCAGCAATAGGGTCTGTTATTCAGGTGACACGGGGAACTTCTCCTTAACACGATAGTGAAGGTTCATCCTATAATAGGTAGTAAGTCATAAGTAATGTTTAGTGTCTAGCAATTACACACACATGCTTCATCCTGCTTCTGGAACGACTTAATAACTCAGAAAATATGTGATTATTCATTCTTTCTATTTCCACCATAACATGTTTTCATAGGAACTTGTGAATTTTAGCACAAACGAATGTTTTACTTTTGTGTCCTCGTATTTGTCCGCTCATGCGCTTTGTTCGTACTTGTGTATATGTCTATCGCCTGAAGCTTACTAGTTTGATGGATCGTTGATCTGATTCCAATTGAAGTTGTTTCCTGCTCATTAACCTGAGTCACGTCTTATCACAATTAATGTTGACTGGATGGTGGCACCCTCACTATTGTCGTTTGGATGAAAAGGAAGTGAACGAACTATATGTAGCCGTGATGTAAATTTACTGCTGTTGTAACCATGAAGTAATAATATTTGAAGCCATTTTTCGACATTTTAACTCTCATATATATTTTTTGACTGTCTATCATGTGTTTGACTTTTTCTCATTAACATAATGGTAAGATCTTATTTATACCATAATCCTTTGATATAGCATTTTTCGCTTGTAAGCAGGAACGGACTCACTGTGTATCCACTACCCCGCTTTCCTATCATTAATGTTGTGTTTTCTGTGGTAATACTGCTGCCCAACTGATCTGCTTTGTGGTCTGGTCTTGTATGTATAGCCCGGTAGTACCAATATCTAAACTGAAAAGAATATACTGTCCCACTGACCACACACGTTTAATGTAGCATAGACGGGGACCAATAAAAAAAGCACTGGAAAGATCGTATGCGTGGGATGGCAACGCTGAACACGGACGGAGATAAATAAAGTACTAGCACTCGTCGTTTTCTACGGTTGTCATTTCGTATCACATTGAGTACGAATTTCTACAAACTTCTGAACACAATGAGCCATTTCAAAAAACGACTAGTGACACAGATGTTCACACCTACAATGTAAATATTAAGGCTGGTCGATGAACACAATTCATATTACAGATACTGCGTTAGCATGTTATGGCAAGGCAATGAAGAATTTTCAAACCGTTGATTTTGAATGCCTCACTGAAATGGAGCACAGTGATATGGTCACATAGTTCCAGTGTTCTATCCGAAAGTACAGTGGAAAGGGACTTTTTGATCACCAAGTTATGTGAGAATTCGCTTGTTACTGATTACCATGAGCTCATTCTGGTAGTTGACTGTATTTTTTACATGATCATTAGTCTCTAGTCAGTTGTTAATTATTGGAGCGTTTTTTGAGTTTGTTTACCGTTTTTCTTTGGATGAGATACTATTCCTTAACTGACAGGAAAATATTTTATATCAGGACAATTAGATTTTGTCAAGAGTCTGTGCTAGTTGAAAAAAAGTAGACCTTTGGTACCACTAATTTTATTGGTACTCGCATTTTTTCTTACAGTGCCTTCTCTACATATATTCTGCATCATTCTGAACGTCCATCACCCCATCATAAGGAAGTTATTGGCCTTTACCTTTTAATCTGTCAAACCCAACAACACAGACACTATAACAGCATGAATTCGAATTCCAAAAGAGACTACTGGGCAGAATACACTTGAGCCAGTAATAACAGCATATATAGGCAGTTAAATCAAGTTAAGGAGTGCACAAAGGCACCAAGCGAAAATAGGAACTACTATTTATTAGGGCTGATTAAGGGTTTTGTCTCGTATCTCGAAGGCTGACTCTATCTTTAGCAAACCAAAGCCAGAGTCTCACGTGTTGGATCCTGATGGATAATCGTACTACAGTTTCCGTCAGATCAGTTTTCTCGAACATTCCATCTCGAACGACCCTACCTATAGTTTATAAGGAGTGTGCAAATTGAAATTTAACACTGAACTGGTATACCCAAAACCACAGAATCTAACAAAGGAAACATCTAGGCTGAGTAGCGTTTACTCTGTCTACCGAGAAATCGGATTTGGTCTTTATAACGTCTCTTGCTGCAATATCCTCACAATCACCAAAGCAAGGCGTGATCTTGAACAGTCGTTCTCAATTTTAAGTGTCGGACACAAAAGGCCTTGAAGATATCCGCCAGTAATACTTCTTTCAACGCCCTCAAAAATCATGAAACCTCTGATGCATGGGAGCCCACGTGACTATTTCTCATCTGCGAACTGATTTTCACCCAAGAGTGCAGGTATAGGAAGCGCCACTTTCTCTTGCTGACCAACGTAATAATAATCATAGTAACAGTCATATTAATTCAGTCTCACTAAATACAGCATACATGAGGTATGCCAACTTACATTCAAGATCAAACTTACAAATGTTATGTAATTTATTAAGTCAAAATCGTTTGGCCATTTTCTTCGGGATCATAACAAAAGTTTTTCTGTAGAGACAACACAACAAAATATTGGCACATAAATGCGGGACCGTTGAATTCGGGCTGAATGTGTCTTATCAACAAGCTCAAGCTGATAGATTTTGACTCACGGTTGACATAGAATTTAGCGTCATTTCTAAACAACCGATTTTATAGTGTTGAAGCAGATCACATTTTTTCAGGCTAGATTAAGGTCAACCAAGGTTCGGCACTGGCATCTATCTTCTTTCCAGTTCATATATATGATCTTCCTAAGTAAGTATCGCCCGGGTAGTTGTTCATCATCGACGGTGTCGAACTTTACGGAGAGGTTTGCAGCCAGAATGACAACCTGAAACTTCAAAACGATCTGATCAAACTTTAGAGCCAAACTTACTTTCAAAACTTCAAAGTCTACAAGAGTCCTTCCGAGAAATGTTACAATCTACACGTGCAGTTAAAACAGATTTCTATTACAGGCTCCCGAGGTTGGAAAATATAAATGATATTTGTCATCATATGATCTAAATACTTACTCTGACTGTGACAGACTTTATACCGATAACTATGAAACGGATTTTGGCCGGTTTGATCGCACGAAGATGTACTTTATTATTTTATATTCAGCCTTAATAGCAGCAAGTAAACATGCTGTTCCCACATTCACGTAGAAAGAATTAAAATACCCTAAAGCGTATCCTAAGGCAGGCGACATTCATTTCGGAACTCA